ATGAGACTCTTAATCTCAGGGTTGTGGGTTCAAGCCCCATGTTGGGCAAAAGATTCATGCATTGCAGAAGGTTGGGCTGGATGAGTCTAGTGCTCCCTTCTGTTATGTACTGAAGTTCTCACCCTGGGCCAGCAGGGGAATACTGTAGATAGTTTTTACTCAGGTCCACATATGCAAATAAGGGATCAAAAGTGACGTTCAGTGATTGGATAGTTACAGAAAGTTGTTACAGTTACGTTGTACTGGAGCTCTATATAAGCAGGCTGGCTGAACCCTTCAGTTCAGTTCTGTTCTGACCTGTGAATAAACAAGAGCTGTTTGGAGAATCGCTGTGTCGTCTGATATGTTCACCCACAACTTAACACCTTCAAACTCTACAATTGTATGATTCTGTGACAGATCTATGACTGAGCACCACCAAGATTGAAATGGGACAGAATCAGCTGCTCAGTCCGTCCCTATCTACATTTGAACTGGGCCAAAGTATTTTTTGGCCACTTCTATCTATTAGAGGAGTTTCAATGCGCAGCGCATACTTAGCAATCCTCCTTAGCAAGTCAATTTTCTCCAGCATTTCCAGAAATGATTGATTAGCATAATAGCATCTCCATCTGCATCATTCTGTATGATTAAAAAAGCACATTTTGAGTCTCTCTCTCTCTCTCTCTATCTATCTCCCTCCCTCTTTGAATAAGTATATACATGAATATGTGAGCCCTAGGGTTCCTGTGGCATCCCTGGGGCTTATTCAAAAAAAAAGTGTGTAGAGTGTCCATTGATTTGTAAGGAATTCGCCATTTCCTTCTGTTCCCTTAGGAACCACAATGCAACTCTAAGGATTCTAGGAATATCACCTATCCCCACTTCAGACAACAGAGGAGCTGAAGAGTTTTTCAATAAGGGATATGTCTTTAAAATTACATATGTATCCTGTTATCCCATGTTACCTTTGCAAAAATCCTGTGAAGTAAGGAAGGCTGAGAGATTTCCCAATACTATCCAGTGACTTTCAGGAGACCTTCAAAAATTTGAACCCTCAACACCACCACGTTGCCCAGTCTTTCAAACAAAGAACAGCCCCTTATACCACATGAAGAAGAAAAGGGATATATATATATACATATATATATATATATATATATATATACATATACATATATATATATATACATATATACATATATATATATATATATATATATACATATATATATATATATATATATACATATATATATATATATATACACACACATATATACATATATAATATATATATATATATATATATATATATATATATATATATATATATTCATTAAATTTGTTTCCTGCTGGGTCAAGTATTATGCCACTTCTATTCTTGCTAAGATTTCTGAAACAAATGTGATATATATGAATAGAAATCACTCTCTGAAATGGTTTCATCATGGTGACAATACTCATGCTTGAGCTTCTAAAAGTGAAAACGCTAGACTGTCTATGAATCCCGGGGAAGAAATGGAACCACACATTGAAGTGCAAGTTGAACTTGAAGTTAAGCATGAGGTTTAAGTGCATTGGAAAATCTTTTGTTGAACTTAAGTGCCTTGAAACAGGCTCATTGTCTCTCAATGTGTCTTGCCCGTTGCCTAGGAGCTCTGGGGTGCACACAATACATTTTCTCCAGCTAATTCTAGGATGAACGAGAGATCTCTGTGAGCTCCTAAAGTGGGGGGTTTATAATTAAAATTGCAACTGAACAGGCCAGAAGGGAATGAAGTGCTCAGGATACCCTCCAATTAAACTCCTCCTAAAACGGGACTCAGCTGCTGTTACGCTTCTTCCAGGCCAGAGGTGACTTCTTAGTAGCCTTGCTGGTAAATAAAGAATGAGGCTGTACTCCATGAGTCTGATGTGCTATGTAATTGGCTGTGCACAAGTCGGCTGTGATATGTAAATGTTCTCCTGACTCGGTGCTGTTTTGTATAACTAAAGGAGAAATCCTTGCGTGTCCTATTGCAGTGACTGGGACTTATTAGTCTATGACGGGCGTCTTCTAGGTAGACTGACGCAGACCAGGGCAGGACAGGGGAGAATCGCATGTGGTGTTTTCTGCCACAGGACCATCTCTCCCCATATGAGCCTATCAGGGCTTTGAGATCTTCTGGGGAAGCTTTTCTCTCCACCCGGCACCTTTGCAGGCATGTTTGGTAAGAACACAAGAAAGGGCCTTCTCAGCGGCTGCTCCCCGTTTGTGGAACCCTCTTCCACAAGAAGGGAGAGGAAATCCCCTCTCTGCTTTCCTTTCACCAGTAGGAAAATACTTATTTTGTTCCAACAGACCTTTGGTCACTAATATCCATGATTTCTGATAGTTTGATATGCTTATAGGATGAGATGATAGTAGGTCTAATAGTAAGATGTTTAAAACAAGTTGGAAGAAAAATTAGGAACCCCTTGTTGGACTCTCATAGAGTTAATGGTTTTAGGAGACAGAGAATTACAGCATATCTTTGCAGTATCTGGACAGTGGTATAACTGGCTGTAGAATACCTCTTGCTTCTTGGGAAAGTGCATTTTAAGGAAAATTAACTGACTCAATTCATGCGGTTCCTTCTTCCTCCCCCCCCTTCTCCCATGCTCATTCCTTCATCTACTTCTTGTGGTTTTGAGTTGTTTTGTGAGGACATTTGAACCGGCAAACTATGGTTTGGGATAATTTTTGATCCTGCTTCAAAGCATGGTTTCAATTTGCAGCTAGGAGGCAAAACACTTACCTTTTGCAGCTGAAGAATGAGATAATAATGCTTTAAATAAATAAATAAATACAGTGGTATCTCGGGTTACATACAGACTCCGCTAACCCAGAAATAGTAACTTGGGTTAAGAACTTTGCTTCAGGATGAGAACAGAAATCGTGCTCCGGCGGCACGGCGGCAGCAGGAGGCCCCATTAGCTAAAGTGGTGCTTCAGGTTAAGAACAGTTTCAGGTTAAGAACGGACCTCCGGAACGAATTAAGTACTTTACCCAAGGTACCACTCTACCATAGTTTGCCAGTTCAAACAATACAGCAAATGATGCTTAGTTGAAACCAGGAGGGTAAGAGGGGAACCAGTTCATGTAAAGGGAGGTGACTGGGGACAGTGGGAGGGAGCTTTGCTTTGCCATTCCATCTGAATTAGCCTTCATTGCCAATATGACGCATGCATCTACTTTTGCTGGCAAATAAGTGCTGATATCCAATTTAAGTCATACTTAGAGTGAACCTATTGAAACCAATGGATTTACTTAACAATGAACACTGAATATCATTCATAGAATTTATATAATAAGCAGGAAGTTATTAGAATGTATAATACCAAAAGAGTAGGCGAAATTGGTGATGGGTGAAAAGTTCAGTTTCAATTGGCTCAGAATCAGCTTTGTCATCCCTCTGGCAAAAAGCTTGTTTATTCTGATCCAATTGGAATCAAAATTTGCTCTGTTGCAGGGTTGGCAGACTGTTCAGGATATGAACAGTTGTAAGTTTAGGGGGTTAGTCTAGATGATGCTCCTTGCCCCTTCCCGTTCTTGGGGTCCTTAACCCAGCAAGGTTTGAAGCTGACAAGAGGAGTTCCTGGAACACCAGTACAGTAATTGTGGGTGCCATGAAGCAGATCCCTTCTCTGTTTCCCTGTGAGTCACCAATCCCCTTCCACTTAAGCACCTCTAAATCCCTACCCACCTACCTGCAAATCTCTAAGCCTCTTCCACCCATATGTTTACCTGGCTGTGAGGAAAGTTGGAGGTCTATCTCTCTTCTCTGGCATCTGGTCCCCGAAGCAATGTAACAGAGCACATCAAACACAACCCTCCCAGGGATACAAATGTCTGCAGCGGTTGTGGAAAAATTAAATTTCCCAGTATTAATTTGTGCTGGAAAGAGAAAGACCAAAACAAAAGTAGCCAGGTGTCAGCGAGAGGCTAGTGGATTTCGAGAGGGAAGGAGTTGTGTTCTTATTTGGTTCCGATTAAAATCTAAGCTGAAGAAGAACTGGGTGTGCTTCATGCTTTTCATAATTATGGCTAGAAGCAGATGAGCATAAAACAAATGTACTGGTGGCAAGTAATAAAACTCCCTTTATCACAGATAGGAAACAAAGTGAGCAAGTATGGGAAGCATAATAAATGAAGACAGAAGATTCAGAAAAGATAAATAATTTCATAAGAAGAAGCACATGCTAGCCTGAGGAATATTTTTCAGCGCTGAAAAACAAATATACCCACACACATACGCATAGATATGGAGCAGAGGCTCATACAGATGTTTAGCAAAATGGAAGAAAGGAGACTTGAGGCTTTTGAGATGAGGGTTTGGAGAAAAACACATAAACTTTATTAGATGTAAAAGAAAACTAATAAAGAAACTGGAGGACTGGAGAGGGACGAAGGCTGCTGCAAAATATGAAGAGGTGAGGTGATAAAATAGGATCAAGGCCTCCCTCCGAGACACAGGCTGAGGGAAGGTTGCCATCTCACAGGGAAGTGGGCAAATCCAGCTGCAATCCACACATGGACAGCCCCCAACTCCATGCCACGGTCACCCTACCTACCTGCCTTCATTTGCTAGACCCTGGCAATTTTCTGGGCTACATGGCACCCATTCTGGACAGAGTCTGCTATCAATAAGAACTGACCTGGGTGACAGTAACAGTAGTGTAGGGCTTGTGGTGGTGTTTGGTTTCAGTTTAGTTTGCTAGGACACAGATGTTATGTAGTGAAGTTCTCACCCTGGGCCAGCAGGGGGATACTGTAGATAGTTTTCACTCAGGTCCACACATGCAAATAAGGAATTGAAAGTGACGTTCAGTGATTGGATAGTTACAGAAAGTTCTTACTGTTGCGTTGTAGTGGAGCTCTATATAAGCAGACTGGCTGAACCCTTCAGTTCAGTTCAGTTCTGGCCCGTGAATAAACAAGAGCTGTTTGAAGAATCGCTGTGTCGTCTGATATGTTCACCCACAACTTAACAACAGAGATGGCTTCTCAGGTGTGCCAGAACTTTTGTGCTGACTGTGAAGCTACCTTGAACCGGCTAGTGAATTTGCAGCTGTATGCTAGCTATTTGGATCTGTCCACGTCCTACCACTTTGACTGTGATTATGTTGCCTTGTGTCACGTGGCCAGGTTCCTGAAGGAGCAGTCCCAAGAAAAGTGGGAGCATGCAGATAAGTTCCTGAAAGATCAGAACAAGAGTAGAGAACGCATCTTGCTGAAGGACCACAAGAAGCCAGAGAAGGATGAGTGGGGCAACAGCCTGGATGCCCTGCAGAGTGCCCTGCAGGTGGAAATAAACGTGAGCCACGCCTTGCTGGATCTGCACAAGCTTGCAACGGAGAAGGGAGACCCTCATCTGTGTGACTTCCTGGAGTCTGAGTACCTGGAGGAAGAGGTGAAGGTCATCAAGCAGCTGAGAGGCCACCTCACAAACCTGAGGTGCCAGGGACTGCTGCAGAACGGCATTGGGGAGTACCTGTTTGACAAGCTCACTTTGAAGAAGAGCAGCTGAAGGCTCTCATCACTTTAGAAAAAGAGCAAAATGTGTAGTCAAGTTTGTGTAGTGTATGTTCAAGAATAAGAAAGAAAGAAAGAGCGAGCCCACCTGGGTAAAGAGGCCTTTAAATTGTTTGATTTGATATTTGCTTCTCGCCTTTCCAACAATAATGTCAACCACAAAGCGACTCACAATAGCACCATTGAAAATTAACAAATATTACAGACACTATAATCATATCAAAAACACAGCAGCATATAGATAAGGCAGAAAACAAACAAATTCAGCCAGCGATATACAATTCAATGCCAACTCATAGTGATTCAGAATATCAGAAATGGCTGCAGTCTCCATTCAGGCAAGCAAAAGTCATTATTAACAGAGTCTAAGACACATCCCAGCCAGGCCAAAGCACTCAAGACAGGTACAAAACATGGCTGGCGAGTGGTGTGGCCTGGAAAAAAATGGTGCAATTAGGGTTGCCACCTGTCCTGCATAATACAGGATTGCCCTGTATTTCAATGTAAATTGCTATGCCCTGTACTGATACAGTTTTGTCCTGTATTTCAGGTCTTCTCCCTCTCTCTCCTGTCCCCCCCCCCCCGCCAAGTTGGGGGTCCTCTCCAAGTGCATGTGTTTGAAAGGGTGTGCGAAAGGTCATGTATTTAAGTTCTGGACAGCCAGGCACAAGAGAGAGCCCCAAATTCATGTAAATCAGTCAGATGGGTGGGGTACAAGTAATAAAACTATTAATAGTTGTAGTATTGTGTGTGTGTGTGTGTGTGTGTGTGTGTGTTTGTGTGCATGGCAAATTCCAGAGGGGCCATCCTGTTAGGCTGCCATGGGTTGTAATGGATTGCTTTGAAGTCACTTGGGCACTGGGGAATCTCCCACCAACTGCCCCGCCCCACCCTGCCCAGTATTTTGCCAGAACAAAGGTGCCAACACTAGGTTCAAAGGGGGTGGGGCCGCCTTGGGAGAAGCCTAAGAGAGGCTCTGAGGGATACATTTGGCCTCTGGGTCTATGGTTCGCCACCCCTCCTCCAGATGCTTTCAGTCCATGCGCTGCAAGTTAACAGCAGATTGACACAGCTTCAGTTCACTATTAACTCATAATAAAGTTTCCAGTTGTATTTAAACTGATTTTACAAAGGCAACGGCAAAAAACCCTTTTAGCTAAATAATTATGTGTCATACTTCTTGATTACTTTTTTTTTTATAAAAAATATATGTCATGGGGTCGGTTTTTGTTGGGTGTTTTTAAACCACAGGCAGATCAGAACCTTTCAGTGTAAGTTACCATGGCAAACCACTTGCTGTTATACTACTGAACTAGATAATGAATTAACCACAGCACCATCCGTATCTCTTCAACTAAGAACAGACATTGTCTGCATTATATCGTTTACTGGCTGGCCACGTAATACAACTGTGATCGGCAAGAAAATATGTTATCTTGCGCTGATAGGACATTAATATCTATTTTTATGCCGTTTATTCGACAGAGGCCCCCTTTCTTAACGATAAGAAATAATTATCTCCCTTGAAAGTAAGTCTTTGTGTTCATGTGGAGCACATACATGTGGTTTTTCAAACAGAGTTGTCCCATATTAAATGGTGCTTGGTGCCCCAATGAGGCCAGGGAGAGGGATCTATGGTTCGGTCACAAGGGGGCACTCGACGTTAGATACAACTAGTTGTATCTAGGAGCAGTCTGGAGTTTCCTTATACTGGGATATATATATATATATACACACACACACACATTTTTATTAATTTTTTAACATATCATTTCCAACAATCATTTAGCATATATTCTTATCTTATACAATATTTTAGACTTCCGTCAACCACCTCTGAAGATTTTCCATTCTTTATCACTTAATCTGCATTTCTTAATTTCTCTATTACTTTTAATTGTCCTTAACTAATAATTCTCTTCATAGTCTTCCTTGCAATATTTCGCATAGTCCTTCTTACAAAACCTCTTGCAGTAATCTGTTTATTACAATTGCTTTTCAAATAGTTCAAATATTTACTCCAGTCCTCTAAGAATCTCTGGTCCCGCAGGTTTCAAATCCTTCCTGTCAGTTTGTCTAATTCTGTATAGTCCATTAATTTCATTTGCCACTCTTCTTTCGTCGGCAGTCCGCAGTTTCCTGTATGTGTTTAAGAAAGAATCAATAAAGTTATTGCCTCAAATCCTTACAGGGTGTGTGTATGTGTGTGTGTGTGTGTTGCGTGGCTCTTGCCCGCCATTTCTGCTCTGGTGTGAGGCAGGTTCCCAGACAATGGCTCTGTACACATCGTACATTTCAAGAGCATCCCTCAAAGAACCCCAAGAACTGTAGTTTACCCCTCACAGAGCTATAATTCCCAGCACCCTTAACAAAGGAAAAAGGTGATAAAGCTCCACTACTTGCAGCCGTTAACTGTTCATTAGCTGCTATAGCCTCTGTCTTCCTCCTCCTCCTCTGTCCAGCAAGGTTTGGGCAGCAACAGCAGCAGCTTCAAGGCAATTCAAGGCAGTGGCAGGACCCTGGTCTCTTGGAGGGAGGTTCAATTTTGCCTCTTTGGAACCCAGTTTTCATCATGACTGTAATAATGGTTGTTCTTGTCCTGTCTTGTCAGTTTACAGAAATCAGCTGGGAAAGGATGTCTTCTCTTCCTTCCCCTCCATGAAGAAGAAGAAGAAGAAGGGGACGAGGAGGAGGAGTTTGGATTTGATATCCCACTTTATCACTGCCCTACGCGGGTGGCGCTGTGGGTTAAAACCACAGAGCCTAGGGCTTGCTGATCAGAAGGTCGGCAGTTCAAATCCCCACGACGGGGTGAGCTCCCATTGCTTGGTCCCTGCTCCTGCCAACCTAGCAGTTCGAAAGCACGTCAAAGTGCAAGTAGATAAATAGGTACCGCTCCGGCGGGAAGGTAAATGGCATTTCTGGTTCACTGCTCTGGTTCGCCAGAAGTGGCTTAGTCATGCTGGCCACATGACCCGGGAGCTGTACACCGGCTCCCTTGGTCAATAAAGCGAGATGAGCGCCACAACCCCAGAATTGGCCACAACTGGACCTAATGGTCAGGGGTCCCTTTACCTTTACCTTTACCTTTAAGGAGTCTCAAAGCGGCTGGCAATCTCTTTTCCCTCCCTCCCTCACAAGAAACACTCTGTGAGGTGAGTGAGGCTGAGACACTTCAGAGAAGTGTGACTGGCCCAAGGTCACGCAGCAGCTGCGTGTGGAAGAGCGGGGACGCGAACCCGGTTCACCAGATTACAAGTCCACTGCTCTTAAGCACTACACCACACTGGCTCTCTCATGGAAATAACTCTGATTTCCTGCTAAAACCTGCAGGGCATGTACAGGCAGAGGGCAACTGAAAAGTTGGCAACACTTTTAATATGCACGAGGGTCTCCTTGTGTAGAAAAAGTTCAGGAGGCTCAGAGGGATGGTCCTCATCCGACTATCAACATGCAGATTTGAGCAACTACTCCTCCACTTGCATTTGCGCATAGGAATAAATATATGCGAATCTTTTGCATACCCTCTTCTTTAATAACATGTAAGTGACCACTCTAACCCTATGCTTGCTTTGCTTTCAAGGAAAATGTCAGAGAGAGAGAGAGCTGGATTGATATATCCTCCGCATTCCCTAGGAGAGGATTGAGAGCTTTCCAATCCTCAGCAGACACTGGGGCTGAGCCACTGTTGTAAAGTGAGTAGTGTGGGTATGTGAAGTGGCAGGCATTAAAAAGGAAAATAAGAAATTGTATCCCAGTCAACTCTTTATTGTTGAATGTGCTATTGTTATGCTGCTCATCATGAGATATAACGCAAGATTGGGAGACAGAATGTTAACATGCCTTTGGCAACAAAATACCTGGGTTCAGACCTGGCCTATATAATTACAATGAGGCAAGGCTAGACGTTTGCACAGAGACCTCACTGTAGCACAAATTGCAGAAGAGTTTATCTAGTGGTGGTTCTAGGCTAAACTATTTCACAACAAAGTAAATCTGTGTTTTGCAGAGTTCTAAGGTAAAAAGGTGAAGGACCCCTGGACGGTTAAGTCTAGCCAAAGGCAACTATGGGGTTGCGGCACTCATCTCACTTTCAGGCTGAGGGAGACGCCGTTTGCCCACAGACAGCCAGCATGACTAAACCGCTTCTGGTGCAACGGGACACTGTGACAGAAACCAGAGTGCACAGAAACGCCATTTACCTTCCTGCCACAGCAGTACCTATTTATCTACTTGCACTGGCGTGCTTTTGAACTGCTAGGTTGGCAGGAGCTGGGACCAAGCAACGGGAGCTCACCCCATCACAGGGATTTGAACTGCCGGGCCTCAGATCAGCAAACCCAAGAGGCTCAGTGGTTTAGGGCGCAGTGCCACCCGCAGAGTTGTATGCTAATAGAAAAGATGGAAGGCCAGGGAACCTTCTCTCCAGTTTAACTTATTAATGCACCCTAGTTTAAAAATAGTGGGGTGGACTTGAAAGAGGATTTACTGAGTATCCAAGCTCAAGGAATTTGGCTGCAGACTTACTCTAGTCATGTTAAAAGTGTTCAAATGGGTAGCATAGTCTTTTTCTTTCTTTCTTTCTTTTTTTGGTAGGACATCCCAAAAGGATGTTGAGGGACACAGAGCCTTCACTTGGTACCAAGCAATCTTGACTGTGTGTGTGATTTTTCATCTTATGATTTTCCATCCTAATACTCTCATCCCATTCTAAAGTTAAATAATTAGCAGTTTCCCCCCTCATGTTTAGTGTTTTTGAATCAGCTTCCTTTTATCCTTATAAAATGGTTGACGCCTCTGACTTTGGCATTGGAGACATAAAACACGAAAGAGCATTTGAAAGACTCAGTGGGCATAAATGCTTCACTTTAATCCTCCCAGGCCCTTTGGCAACCAATAATGTCACAAGGGCAAGTGGACAATGAATGCTTTTAAACGTTCTCATTTCCTCCATCCGTTTAAGCGAAGTGAGAACCTACAAGGCTGTCCATAAAT